TTTATCACCCCGTTTGGATTATTCGAATGGAGTCGCATGTCTTTTGGCCTAAAGAATGCTCCGCAGATTTATCAACGCCTCGTGGACAACGCGCTGTATGGATTTTTGAAGATCTCGCGATCTAGCGACACCGGGGCTACAACGGATGCAGGGATTGCGGACGATCCTGATCGCGAGTCAGTATTGGGACGGAGATCGTACATCGACGACATCATGATCGCAGCGGAATCGTGGGATCAAATGTGCCGAAGAGTGGAAGATCTGTTGGAAGCTTGTGATAAGTGGAATTTGTATGTGTAGCCAAGCGTTTCTGGGGCATGGATAAGGTAGGATATCTGGGACACCGAGTGTCGATCGGAGGTTTGGAGGCGAACCCAAAAGATCTGAAATCCCTAACCGAACTACCGTTCCCCGGATCACTTCGATCTATGCAGTAGTTCCTGGGTAGTTTTAATTACTACAGCCGATTCATCGAAGATTACGCTATCTATGTCTCGGTAATTTAACGACTTACGGGAAGTTGAGTTTGAAGAACTGGAGAAGCGATCAGATCTGAGGGAGATCATGGACCGGAACGACTCGATCGTTCGAGATTGCGACCCACCGGAACTGAAGTTGACGGCACCAGTGGACGAGAGATGGATCAGGGCACATAGGGCCTTCATCACCCTGAAAACCAAGATCGCGACGACCCCAGTCCTCCGTCCTCCGCGACATAGACGAGGCGAGAACGCCGGTAGTTATTGTATATGCCAGTGATTAGGCGATATCCGCTTCGTTGACGCAAGAACATGACGGGATCTACCACCCGGTTCGCCAGTCGCACCTTGAAGACGAAAGAGTTGAACTACAACGTGACGGAGAAAGAGGTGTTGGCGTTGCTGAGGATCTTAGATCTCTACTACAATTTGCTAGTAGGACGCGAGATCCGGGTCCTGACGAGGCATTCTATGTTAGCCTGGTTGTTCAAGTCTACGGGGTTGCAGGGCCGCTTGGGGCAATGGTCTGCCCTTTTTTCCCCATGGACACTCGAGATCACGAAGTGTACGAAGGGTGAAGATGAGATCCTGGGGGCGATCGCTGCTAGCATCACGCCAAGGGCGAAGATCGACGATGCTCTGACTGAGATTGCTCCCCGGAAATAACCTAAACACCGGATCCAAGCGCCGATATCCACCGTAGATCGAGACGAGGAACTATGGGTGATCAGCTTTGACTGATCCGCTCGAGTTAAGCGTGGTGGGGGCGCGTTCAGCGCGATCGTG